GTGGCTAGCGCATAGGTATCAAGGCTTCTAAGTGATCTTGAGCTCAAGAGCTCGACCAATTCCACTCCAATCTTTACCCCAAATAGTTTGGTGTTGAGGTGTAATTGATATATATACACACACACATCACACACACGCACACTTGTATACATATACACTAGCAAACTCATAAATGGTCATCCTCCTAAATTCTTGTGATGTAAAGAGAATATTCACTTTGATAGCTATTACTTGATTTCTGATTACTCTCGAGTTGCTTTGAGTACCAAATCCCTATAGTAGTCTCTACTTTTATATTCTTAATCCTTACAGGTTTACTTTCACTGTGTTATTTTCAATACTTGGGATATCTCAGAATGCAGAGACACATGCAAGTTCTATTACCAAATCAAGAGGGTAGATTCAGGCCTTCGAATTTGAAATAATGATACTCAAATGTGATTTAACTGATGCAGAAGGTTTTTCCTTTTCAGGTCTCGTTCTCGATCCCAACAAATTTAGCCAATTGAGTTTGGATGAGAAAAGACAATTAGTGTATGAAATTTCTCAATGCTCAGAAGATGCGCCAAAGATCTTGAGTTCATTGACCAGAAGAGAACTTCTAGAGATTATATGTGCTGAGATGGGCGAAGAGAGAAAGTACTCTGGCTACACAAAATTCAAAATGATAGATCAACTTCTAAAGCTGGTTTCTTGTAAGTCCAATACAAATATTGGTTCTGCCTTCAAAAGGCAGCGAAAACAAGAAAATCAATGTGAAACTTTGGTTCAGAATGGTGAAGCTAAGTGGGAGTTGGAAAGCAAAACCCAATTCCTACTCTGTCATAATTTGGCATGTAGAGCTACTCTTGAGAGAGAGGATGTTTTCTGCAAAAGATGTTCTTGCTGCATTTGTCATCAGTATGATGATAATAAAGACCCTAGTTTGTGGTTAACTTGTGAATCCGATTCTCCAGATGAATTTAAGCCATGCGGATTATCATGCCATCTAAAATGTGCACTTGAACACGAACAATCCGGCATTTTGAAGAATTGCATCAATCAAAAACTAGATGGAGATTTCTATTGTGTTTCTTGTGGAAAAGTTAATGGGCTGATGAGGTATTTAACTCTTTCTTTGACCTGTAACATTGTGTGTTTTTATCTTGTTGTTGTTACTGCTTTTTTTACTTTTTCACTGCTGCATATCTTTTCTCAATACTGTTGTGATTATGCATGCTTGCTTTGAGCCGAGGGTTTACCGGAAACAGCCTCTATACCTGCACAAGGTAGGGGTAAGGCTTCATACTCTCTACCCTCCTCATACTCCACTTGTGGGTGTTGAATATGTCAAAAGTTCATCCCACATCGGTGGGGGACTTCATTTGGGGGAGAATTTCTCCCTATAAAAGGAGGCCTAATGTTTAGGATTTAAACACACCTCTCATTTGCCTTATCCTTTTAAGGTATTTGTATTTCTCTCTTTAGTATTATTTCACTTGTATTTTGAAGTGGAATTGTGTCCGAGGAAGTAGGCGAAATTGGCCGAACCTCGTAAATTCTGGTGTTCCTTTTATTGTTGTTTTATTGTCTTATTTATTATTTGGTGGCTGCCATAATTTTTGGTATAGTAGTTGTGACTCATTCACACTATATACATTTGGCTTC